GATCTCATAAAAGCTAACAGGACTGTCTTCATTATTAGTAGCACCACCATTTCCACAGACCCTCAACTCAATATAGTCAGTAGTGGTAGTGCTACCATAGTCTCTGTGAAACCATGGGATACCAGGAACATTACAACAAGGTGATTCAAGAGAACCACAACCTTGACCATCCCAGAGTGGATCAGATGTGTAGAGTATTTGAGAATAACCAGAATCATGATTTCCAGACTCACAGAAATAATGGTTTCCTACAAAAGATGGGACAGTTTGTAAGCTTCCTATTGAACATGGACAATTAGCATGTGGATAATTGTTATAAGTGTCCATTAAACCATTTGCTAGTGTCCAGACATGTTGACGAGGAGACCCACGGGTGATACTAACACCATCAACATAATAAGAATTGAGGTTACTTGGTCCATGAAATGCATCTGTTGTAAAATATTGATATCCTGTTACTCTACCACATATCTGAGAATAACTGATACCATTAGATGGGAACTGAGCTGATACACAACCACCACTACTGTTAGTCCTACCACAAGCTCTAACTCCTTCTGACTGGTACAGTTTAAACCCAGAAGGGCAGCTTTGTGTAGCATCAGTCATATCCAGATATGCTAGTCTTGTCCATCCTCCTCCTGAACCACACAATGTTCCCATATTACAGTAAGCAGTATAAGTAGATCCTCCAATTGCAGCAGGTGCTAGTAGATACACACCTGATGGACTGAGTGGTTGTCTCTCCTTAATCTCTTTACAAGAGGTAGGTAAAGCAGTTGAGTCATTGTGTAGTACTAATAGTTCTTGTGCTATTAGTAGTATATCATCAGCCACTCCAGCAGTAGAGGTACTGGTGTCTTGTAGATTAGAGAGAGTATTGACAATGCTAATGAGCTTTTGTGCAGAGTTCCCAGTTAAATTCAATATCTTATTTATATCCATGCTGTTGCTCATACTTTTTTCCGTTTGCATGTCAGCAAAATTATGAATATCATCAATCTTCCATGCAGTGTCCTCTGATACATTCACAAGTGTGCTGAACCTAGTCAATAGTGTATTGAACTGGGTCTGTAGTACACTAAACTGAGATTGCATTGTGGGGCTGGTACTGGTATACCCTTTGACAAATAGAGCAAGCAGAAGAGCAAGAATGAGGAATAAAGTCATGAGGACTACAACAACTACAACAATCAGAGCACAGCAGACCTTTCCTTTGGCTACAAAAAGTTGCTCCTTTGGCTTTCTATCATCTTTAAATTCAAAGCTGCTATTGACATCATATTGTTGAAGCTCTGTCACTTCGTAAAGATTTTCTTTCTCCATTATTCGTTTATCCTCTCTTGTGCATGGAAGAGGTTACCTTTTGAGGTTGCTTTGCATGGTGTAACCATGGCATTAATTAGTTTCATTATCCTAATGAATTTCATGATTAATTATATGGCCACACATAAGTTATTATGTCTGTTTCACACAAAAACCTTAAGTATTGATTTACAGTTTAATATGAACATTCGTGTGGTAATTCATACATTATGATGTCAAGAAAAAATTCTATTTTTCACTTCTTGTCAACAATGTTGTATCACCAGTCAAATACATAAACTACAAAAAATCTTCAATCTGTGACTATAAATAAATAACTCCATACAAGGGCAAAAATAAATCTAGCTCTACTAGTGCATAACACACTAAAAATGTGAAGTATTGCACAATACTAACTAACATAGTGCAGGTATTGACTGCTTACCAACCCCAATGACCTTGTGTCGTTGGAAATACTGCACTGACTCATCTTGTGGTCTTTGTAATGCTCCACAATGCACTGTGAATCATATCCTGAGCTGTTGCCCTACTAGTTTATTACAAGGTCGCTATACTTGGAGACATGATACTGTTCTTAAAAGATTATACAATCTGTTGAGGGATAACCTAGATGAGTCAGTTACGATATTTGCCGATCTTAATAATCTCAGAGCTTCAGATACCCCTCCAGCCACCATCCCATTAAATATTATAGTCACAACAGCTAGACCGGACATTGTGATCATTGATGGTAGATATATTTGTCTACTGGAACTTACCATCCCCAGTAATAATATGGCCAGCTTAACAAATGTAAGAGAAAGGAAGCAAAGGAAGGAAAATTATATCTCCCTAGTATCAGATCTCTCTTCCCGTGGATATGCCACAGACCTGGAGACAGTTGAGATAGGAGCTTTAGGTCACTTTCTTCAATGCTCAATAAATTCAATACAACAAGTATTACCACATCTGTCAAAAAGAGTTCTAAGAAACAGTTTTATTTCCCAACTCAGTTTCCCCGCCATCTCCTGTTCATATGCCATCTTCAACAGTAGACGTAATAGTGAGTGGTCGCCACCAATATGACTATTACTCTTATTTTATTACTTTATTTATTTATTTATTTTTTAAACTCTAATTAATTAATTTTATTAACTTTCTTTCCTTATTAAATCTGTTCTAGTCTTCCTTCTTTCCTTCTTTCTTGTTTTTTTTTCTTTTTCTTTGTAATTACACTGGCTTGCCAGTCTGTTTTGGAGCAACGCTCCACAGTAACACTGTGTCCTAGCCTTACTACTATTTGATTTATATTTTATTGTGTTTTATTATAAATTGTGACCTTTTGGTCGTATTTCAAAAAAAATAAATAAATAAATAATAATAATAATCGTGGAAGCTTGTTATTATTAATAATAATTTGAAGGCAGTCACTACAAAATTGCTCTAATTATGACAAACATAATATATTTAAAAGTTTTCAAAGTCATTACACAACACAATAGACAAAAGGACTTACTTCTACATTACATCCACACACATGCACACACACTTAACTACTTAACATAAATCTCATAATAACTAACAGGACTGTCTTCATCAATAGAATTAGCAGACACCCTCAACTCAATATAGTCAGTAGTGGTAGTGCTACCATAGTCTCTGTGAAACCATGGGATACCAGGAGCATTACTGACAACAAGGTGATTCAAGAGAACCACAACCTTGACCATCCCAGAGTGGATCAGATGTGTATAGAGAATCTGTGATGTACCACTGTTAAGATTCCCTGATTCACAGAAGTAGTTAGTACTAGTAAAAGATGGAACGGATGCTGTATTACCAGTATTACATGGACAATCATATGATGAGGCAGTTGACTCACTATGACCAGCTACCAGCTACTATGACCAGCTACCAGCTACTATGACCAGGTATTAGTGTCAAGATGTGTTGTCAAGAAGGTCCACGAGAGATAATAACACCATCAGCATCAGTGACAGCATGAAGAGCATTTATAGAACCAAACAAATATCCTGCTACTCTGCCACATATCTGAGAGTAACTGATACCATTAGATGAGAACTGAACTGATGCACTGCAGCCATTACCTAAAACTGGTTGACCACAAGCTCTAACTCCTCCTGACTGGTACAGTCTAAACCCAGAAGGACAGTTCTGTGTAGCATCAGACATATCCAGATATGCTAGTCTTGTCCATACTCCTCCTGAACCACATGGTTCTGTAATACATTAGTCTGATGAGGCATAACACCAGAAGAAAAGGGATAATGTACTGAGCTAGTTTCTATTGGTAGACTGCTGATAAAAAGTATCTCAGTTGGTTGGACAGTGGAGGAGCTGTCTGTTGATTCACTGCTGGTTAATACAGTCTCTGTTAGTTGAATGCTGGAAGGATTGACTAAAGAGGCAGATCTATTTAGCTCCTCCATATTACGATATAGATATATCTTCTTGCTCCTCCTTTGCTTACTATATTATAATATCCTGATGAACTCTCTGGCCAATAATTCTTAATATCCTCACAAGATAAAGTAGCTGC